CTGGCACTAAGTTCCTCACTGATGCCACATTAACTCTGAATGATGGTGCATGTGCAATTATAAAAAAAAAATTCAATCTGACCGTTCTAATTAAGCTTACATGACCATGAATGGGATAGGTAATAGATTTAGGACCACATATGAAAGTGGCTAAGATTGGATTTGAAAAGATTCGTAACATATATATATATAAGATATAAAGAGAGCGAGAGAGAGAGAGAAAGATTTTTGTCACATTAAGGCAAAAAATTGGGAAATTGTGCTACTTTAACCAAGTATTGTGGACGTAACCGATACGTGATATATTTGGTATATACATACATACACACACTTTTTTTGATGTGTGGGCATAAAAGTTTTTGATCTTCTGTTAAACAGTATCCATAGATAAAGATTAGATACTAGAAAAATATAGTAATTTGACTTTGCAATCATATTTTAAAAAAAAAAAAAAAACATAACTGAAATGTCCTTTTTCTCTCTTGGAAAAGTAAGCACACCCCTACCTTAAGTAACTGGTGCTTCCCCCATTAGCAGAAAGGCAACTTTCATGTAGGCTTTTCCTGTAACTGTCTATCAGTTTTTGACTACTGGAAGAAATTTTTGCTCATTCCTCTGTGCAGAATTCTTTCAACTGGGCAATGTTTGAGGGGTTTCTTGTATGTGCAATATGTTTCAAATCTGGGCTTTGATCACGCCATCCCATAACCCTTCTTTTTTTCCCTTTTGAATCGTTCCTTGGTGGTTTTACTTGTACGTTTGGGATCATTATCCTGTTGGAAGGTCCACTTCTTCACCTTCAACCTTTTTACAGATGGTCTCTCATTCTCCTCAGGCACTCTCTGGTATGAAAGAGAATTGATAGTCGATTCTGTGATTACAAGTTGGCCAGACCCTGCAGCAGCAAAGCAGCCCCAACCTATAACAGTTTCACCACCATGCTTTACAGTTGCTAGGAAGTTCTTCTATTCAAATGCTGTTATTGTTTTTCACCAGACATCACTTCTGGTACTGTGGCCAAACAACTCTATCTTTGAGCTGTCAGTCCATAGCATAGTTCCAGAAGTCTTGATCCTTGCCTTGAAATTCATTAACAAAATTCAGTCCTTGCCCTGATGTTCTTTTTAGACAGCAAAGGCTTGCACCTGGCATCCTACCAAGTAGGTCAAATTTGTGCAGTCTTTTTCCAGTGGTAGGTGAATGCGTTTTCTCATCAACAGTGTCAAGATACTTCTATTATCATTTTAGTCTGCTTTCGTGTTAAATGTTCTGGGGCAGCCTGGCCTGGACAGTGGTTTTAAATATTCTCCACTTGTAGATGATCTTCCAGACAGTGGAATAATTGATTTCCAATATTTTGGATACCTTCTTAACCCCTTTCCAGGCTCGAATGCATCTTTAACTTTCTTTCTGAAGGCCTCAGAGAGTTCTTTTGATAGGCATGATGAAAAGAGTATATGAGGCTTAAGTAAGTAATAACAAGTTCCTCTAAGATACTTTCTATGTACTTTCTGTATTACAGAAACTTCTCAAGTCTGAAAGTCTTATTTGTTTAGTCACCATGACAACTTCAGATAGGACTGAATTTAGGACAGAAGCTATTACAGAACAACAGTAATAGCAGTTCATAATCTTATCCATTAACTCCAGAACATCCTAACTAGACAGAATTTCCTAAATTCTGTCCTAACTTTAAGACAAGCCAAGACGTGTCCTAACTTCTGCTTCAACCGTCTGTTTCTGTTGTTTTTTGCAGTGACAGGCAGCATACGGTGCTTTGACTAGTGAAGTTTTTTTTTTTTTCTAACAGCGTTTTAAACATCCCAGACACGTTCTCCAGCGTCCCATCTTATTACCTTCTGGGGAGCTGGGGAGCTGGGGAGCAGCGATGCTCTGATAAACAGCACAAAGCGCTGTCACAATATTCTTAGCTTCAAGTTTATGGCGCTTTAGTTTTGTTTGACCTTTTTCACATTGGCAACGGCAGCTAACGTTAGCTGTCTGGCTAACTAACTTGATTTGTTTTGATTACGTGTTTACGTTTCAGCTGTGCGCGTGTTGTCAGTTGCTAGGTAACAGACATGACAGTTGATGGTCGACTTCGATCGAGTAGGTTAAGATTTCTTAACTTGGGATAACATAAGATGCCATAAGAAGATAAGATGCTTAAATTAAGATTTGATACTGTGATATGAATTTGTGAAAAATCTTATCTTGACCTGTCAGATCTTTCAAAAGGTGGATGTCATATGAGAGCTGTAACTGTCGTCTTTCCAGTCAGATAGATGGGTGATGTCATTTTAAAACTTTATAATAAACGAAGCTGTGCTCACAATTTCTTTTCTACTGAAAGTCGACTCATTTTCCCACAAATCTGAGCTATAAACTGGATCTCAGATGGTGTCTCTTCAGTAATATGCACTGTAAAAAATATTTTTATAAAAAATACAAAGAGCGTCTACGATCTTTGGCTTCCAGCAGTAAATTGTAAGCATATGGCATTATGTTTATGATCATAAAACACATTTTCTGTTCATTTGAGCTTTTACAAAAAAACACCAACACTTTACATTTATTTCATGCATTGACGGAATAATTTGCCTTGGGATTTGGGCATGAAAATTCAGATGGAAAAACCGAAATATACCCTGGAGAATAAGAGGTTAAATCACCTTTATCTGTCAACACCATTAATTGCAGACTTGATATCTTAATCTCGATATGTATCTTAATCTCAACAATAATAAAAAGTCTAATTTTTTCATGGGGTGTAGCTTAAGATGACTGTATACACTTACAGGTCATATATGTATATTATTATGTATACGTTATATTATTATAATATTAGCAGAGTCAGGCATATGGTAAACTGAGATTATATAAAGAAATGTTTCTTATGACAACACTGGTTAATGCCAAGTAATGTGACTTCCACATCTGTGTGAATTGTCAAATGAAAGCTGTTTCACAACTTGGTCCTTTAGTCTCTTGTCATTCTATCAAAATTTGAGATATCTGACTGCATTCTCTGCATCGGGATAAATATTTGAAGGGTGAGAAGAGGGTGTGATGAAAGAGACGGAAGGTGGAGGGAGGGGTCAGTCAAGAGAGGGGAAGAGAGTGGAGTGAAAGACTTTTATTCTGTTTGAGAAAAAAAGCTGCTGCACTCTGGACCTTATTACCGAGAGTGCTGGGCTTCTATATCTAGCTCGTCTCACACACCTCAGCACGCACATGCACACACACACCTCTGATTCTCTCCTCTGCCTCTGTAGGCTTGTTAAACACACACTCTTTAACCCAAACTACACACATGCGCACACACACTCGCAGTAAAATGATTGTGAAATGAAGGCATGAATACAGATGAGAGCATGTTGGAATTTGCTGGAGCTCAGAGGCTCAGTGGAGAACCTGGTCTACTCACTTGAACCAGAATACTAATGCATATGTACCGTCTGACAGGCAGTGAGTAGATCTCGTGTTTCATATTTATCAGCAGCATGTAACATCGCAGTGTTCGACACTGATCTTGACTAAAGCTGTGCCGTTGTAGTAAATCAGGCATTTGAGCATCATCTGTATCTCCGTACTGGAAAGTCAGAGCAGGTGGAATAGAACGGAAATGCTGTGAGTTTGCTTGTATAGTCCGTAACCAGAGGCCTGCGCTAAAGCAGTGCTTCCTTGATCTCTCTTTCATATGCAGCGCTCCAGTAATCATGCTATGCAGCATGCTGCCGCAGTCGGGCCTTGTGGCCCTGCGGCACGATGTGTTTCCTCCTCTCCGTAGCCCTCCGTGAGTGTGTGTGTGCCCCCTGATGAGGCTCTTGCTGTCACTCAGTGGGGGGCAGCTGCTCTCACTGACTAACTTCCTCAGCGTGTGCCTGTGTGTCTGTCAACATCTCCTCCAAAACTGCTTTCTGCTCTGATTACACTCAGATGTATGCACGAACATGACTGTCTCAGTCGTCACTGTGATGTTCATTTTCTCTCTCTCTCCCCTCCTCTCTCTCTCTCTCCCTCTATCTTTTCCCCTCTCTTCCCCTTTCTTTCTTTTTCTTTCTAACTTTGTTTCACCTTTTCTGTTTCCCGTGCTTTTTTCTTTATTTCTTCTTTTCTGTTACTCCCTCACTTTGTTTTTTGCCTCTTGCTTACATTCGCTCTCTCTCTCTTTCTGTCTCTCTCTTTCTCTATCTCTCTGCCTCTCTTACTCTATCTTACTCTCACTCTGCCTCTCTTACTCTTGCTTTCTCTCTCTTACTCTCGCAATCTCTCTTGCTCTCTCTTGCATTCTCTTTTTCGTTTGTTTTTTCTTCTTTTTTCATTTGCTCTTTCTCACTTTTATTCTGTCTCTCGCTCTCCATTTTTTCCATTCTTTGTTTTCTCATTCTCTGTCTGTTAATGTTTGTCTTTCTTTCTTTCTTTCCTTTTTTCTTTCTTTCTTACCGTAATTCTCTCTCTCTTCCTCCCTCTCTTTCTCTTTCTCTCGTTCTTACTGTCCATTTTTCCATTTGTTTTCTTTCTTTCTTTCTTTCTTTCTTTCTTTCTTTCTTTCTTTCTATCCCTGACTTTTACTTTTCTCTTTCACTTTCTGTGTACCTCTTCTTTCTTTATTTCCCTTTTTCTTTATTTTTTCTTCTTTATTTTCAACTTCTGTCTCTTTCCTTTTCTTTCTTTTGCTTTTTTTGTTTCTTTTTCTTCTCTCTCCCTCGCATTCGTTCTCACTGTACAATTTTCCATTTGAATTTTCTCCTTTTCTTTCTTTCTTTCTTTTTCTTTTTTCTGTCTCTGACTTTTACTTTTCTCTTTCACTCTCTTTCTTTCTTTCCCCTCTATTTTTTCTTTTTCATTTTTTTTCTCTCTTTTTTCCTTCCTTATTCATTTCTCTCTATTATCTTTTTTCTCGCTTTTTTGTTTGTTTTTCTTCTCTCTCTCTCTCTCTCTCTCTCTCTCTCTCTCTCTCTCTCTCTCTCTCTCTCTCTCTCTCTCTCTCTCTGTAGGATGAGAGTTCAGTGAGCAGTGAGGAGTTTGATATGAGTGACCCCACATGGATTTCAGCTGAGCACCACGGCGCGCTTTCTGACCCCAACCGGCCCACCAGCACAGAGAGAATGCACAGCCCCCAAAACGCCCATAAAGAGGAGGACGGTAAGAGCTGTTCTTTTTCCCTGACTCTCTTAGAGCCAGCGCTGTGTTTATCACACATCGGGGCATTAATTGGTCAAAACACACACACACACACACACACACACACACACACACACACACACACACACACACATATACCCCTTTTCTCATTCTCTTTCTCTTGATCTCTACCTTCCACAATCTCTCTTATTCCTTGTCTCTGTCCAAGTTTTTCTTTCTCTCTGTCTCATTCACACTCTCTCTCACTCTCTCTCTTCATTTCACCTTCTCTCTCTAATTCTCACTCACTCACTCTCTCTCTCTTTCTCTTTATCGCACACTCTCGCTTACTCAGTCTCATCTCCATCTTAATAGAAGCTCTGAGCTCCACTATGGGGAGGAGAGAAGTGATGGACTTTGAAATGAAGTGACCTGATGGGTGGGTGAGGAAAACCAATACGCTTGTACGCTGAAGTGTGAGACGTTGCTCATACTTGGACACACACACACATATGGTGATGTGAATAGAGTGGAATGGCCGAGGTGAAGCGAGAAGAAATGTAGGAATCGATTTTGATCAAACAGCCTGCACCTCTGTGCTTCCGGGGCAGAGCTCCTGCCACCAGCATTACTCAGAGAGAAGAGCAGGAGGAGGAGAGGAAGGAAGAGAGCGGGGGGGTTAAGATGGAGTGAGAAAAGCAATGGAGAGAGTGTTATAGGGAGCTCCTGCGGGGAGAGGAAGTCAGCCTCCCCATGACGCTCACCTTCAGGTGTGTGTGTGTGTTGGATTTCTTCTAAAGGTCAGAATGGCCCACCACTACGGACCCCTACAGAGCTGCTGTATGCGTGCTGTGACATTAGCTTCGTGGAGGAGACGCTGCATTTAGAGGGCAGAGGACACACCTCTCACTCTCTCACTCTCTCTCTCACTCTCTCTCTCTCTCTCTCTCTCTCTCCCCCTCCCCCCTCCCTGCCTCACTCTTGTTGTCTCTCACTTTCTCTCTCACACCCTCATTTGCCCCCTTTTTTCTCTAACTCTCTCACTCTTTTTCTCACTCTCATTTGCTCGCTCGCTTGCTCGCTCACTCACTATGTATATCTTACTCTCACTATCTTCTTTTCCGTCACTCCCTTACTCTGTTTCGCCTCTCGCTTATATTTGCTTTCTTTCTATCTGTCTCTCTCTCTCTCTCACTCTGCCTCTCTTACTCTTGCTTTCTCTCACTCTGAATTTCTCTCTGTCTCTATCTTACTCTCACTCTGCCTCTCTCTTGCTTTCTCTCACTTGCTCTGTTAATCTCTCTCTCAATCTCTTCCTCTCTGTTTTCCTTTTTCTTTCTATTGCTTTCTCTTTCTCTCATTGTCTCTCTTCCTCTCTCATATTTCTGAAGCTCTACAGCAGTAATATACCAATATAGAATGCAATCTTTCTCGCACATGCACACGCGCACACGCACACGCGCACACACACACGCGCACACACACGCACACACACACACACACACACACGCACACACACGCACACCTGTATTGACACAAACCGTCACACTACAGAGGCTCGGGAAGCTGCTGTGACTTCACTGGTGGTAGTTTTAAACACCACAGTACCAAAGTATTTGTCTTCAACCAGACAGCAGCGTCTGAGAATGTTCACAGAAATCCTCCTTCTTTAGAGGATTTGTATCAGACCCTTAACAAGACCAGTTTAAACCCTGGTTAAACCAGTTGTGTAAATGGTTGCTGTTGTTTTCTGACCTCTGGGCATGTGGCTTTGTTGCTGTGCTGTGGATGCTCTCCTCAGGGATCCTCAGCCATCTTGAGAGTGTGTATGTCATATCTCAGTGGTGTTACAGCAGCCAAGCTGATTACATGGAGTCTCTAGAGAGCACAGAGCTGACCTGCCCGTCCGAGGGGCCTCTGCTATGAGCTGCTCCTTAAGGAGCTCTCCTTCTGGAGCTGATGGACCGAGCCATCAGCTGAGAGTGACAGCTGCACTTGCTGCTGTGAACTCCTTCATCATCAGGGATCTACTAGAGAAGGAGAAATGGAGTAAGAATATGTGATGGTAGAGTAAAAGGAAGGAAAGAAATAGAGGTAGCATAATCAAGACTAGTGGTGGGTGACACAATGATGTATTACAGATCTCATGATAATGTCATGATAAGCTTTTACTAAATATATCAGATATTATTGGTACTTAAATGACTCTGATTTAGCTGCATGTTCATCCAGAAGAAGTTTAGAACCATACCTGGACGCTGTGTCCGGCACCTGGCGCAATACTTAGTGAACATTATGACTTCTAAATAATATTATGCTTTCTACTCTAAGGCACAGGTGCCTTAACATGAGTTCTTCTTTTCTCTGTCACTCCCTCACTCTGTCTTTTGCTTCTCGTTACATTTGCTTTCTTTCTGTCTCTTTCTCTCTCTCTCTATCTTACTCTCGCTCTGCCTCTCTTACTCTTGCTTTCTCTCTCTTACTCTCTCAGTCTCTTTCGCTCTCAATCTCTTTTTCTTCTTTTTATTTCTTTCTTTCTTTTGTTCATTCTCTTTTTGTTTGTCTTTTCTTTTTTGTTATTTCTTTCTCACTTTCATTGTCTCTCTCTCCATTTTTGCATTCTTAGTTTTCTCATTCTGTCTCTGTTACTTTGTGTTTTGTTTGTTTGTTTGTTTCTTTCTTTCTTTCTTTTTGTTCTTTTGTCCTTTCTTTCACTCCCTTTTTATTTCTTTTTTTCTGTTTGTTTGTTTCTTTCTTGCCTTCGTTTTCTCTCTCTCTCTCTCTCTCTCTCTCTCTCTCTCTCTCTCTCTCTCTCTCTTTCTCTCTCTCTCTCTCTATCTTACACTCACTCTGCATCTCTCAATCTCTCTCGCTCTCAGTCTTTCTTTCTTTCTTTCTCTTTTTTGTTTGTTTTTTTTTATATATTTTCGTTGTTTCTTTCTCACTTTCATTCTCTCTTTCATTCTCCATTTTCCCCGTTCTTTGTTTTCTCATTGTCTGTCTTTATTTTGTTTCTTGTTCTTACTGTTTATTTTTCATTTTGAATTTTCTTTCTTTTTCTTTCTTTTTCTTTCTTTCTTTCTTTCTTTCTTTCTTTCTTTTTCCATCTCTGACTTTTCCATTTCTCTTTCTCTCTGTGTGTACCCCTTCTTTCTTTATTTCCCCTCTATTTTTTCTTTTTCATTTTCATCCTCTGTCTCTCTCTCTTTCTTTCCTTTTCTTTCTTTGCCTTATTCATTTCTCTCTATTTTCTCTTTATCTCTCTCTCTTATTCTTTCTTTTTTCTTTTGCTTTCTTTTTTGTTTCTTTGAGAAATGGAGAAAGAAAGACGTGATGGTAGAGTAAAAGGAAGGAAAGAAATACGGGTAGCATAATCAAAACTAGCGGTCGGTGACATGACGATGTATTCGGATCTCATAATTTCACAGTAGTATATTGTGAAATTATCGTTATCTGATAATTTGCTAAATATATCAGATATGGTTTGTGCTTAAATGACACTAATTTAGCAGCACGTTTCAGCAAAAAGAGGTTTAGGACTGTTCCCGGACAATGTGTCTGGCACCTAGCGGAATTCCCAGTGGACGCTGTAGCTTGTAAATAATATTATACTGTCTATTCTGAAACACAAGTGCCTTAACATGAGTGCATTGCCAAGGACACATTGTTAAGCATGTATCATGAAAAAAGCAGTATCATGCCATTTGATATGTGTTCCAACTTACCAGAATAAAAAAAAAGAATAGCGCAATGAATGCTCTGCTGCTTTATCCACCTTTAATCAAGACCACTGTAAGTGATTGATAGAAGTGATGTGAAACATTCACACACTTTACGTATGTTCCTGCTGTAGCTGCCTTTCCCCAGTGGTTTCATTGTGTGCTGTATGGCTATATGCTTTATTGAGGAGACATAGTCAAACATTAGTCAAAGACTTGACGGGGTTGACCTTGGAACATTGCAGACAAGACAACTTTGTAAGTGTCAGTGTCGGTGTTGACTGTGATAGAGAAGCCTGATTTATCCATTGTGTCACGTTTGTGGTGTGTCACCTTTGTCGTGTGCCGTGTGTCTGTGTGCACTGAAGAAGTGTGAAGGTTGACACTGAAGCTTTCTGTGCTGAGGCTCTGCTGGAGATTCTGGCCCTGCCCCCCCCCCCAACACCCACAGCCCCAGCAGGAGAGAGAGAAGGGGGGAGGGAGAAAGAATGGGCAGATGGAGCAGAGGAGGAGGGGTAGAGGAGAATCTGTAGAACGTACAGCTTTCTGCAGACAAAAAAAGAAAATACAAGCTTCAGCGCACTGATTTTTCTGTATTTTGCCAAGAAAAGATTACTTTTTGACTTGTGAATAGAACCGCAGTAGCGCCACAATAGTGCTATCTGGAGGCAGTTAGTGCAGCGCTGTAGTTGCTAGTGCAGTGAGCCTCATTAACTGAAGAACTGAATATTTTTTTGCTCTTTGTCTATGCCAGCCTAATCATGGACAATTAAAGCATGTGAAGTCTGTGTGGGGGGGGAAAGTGAAATTTGATCTGCAACATCTTGGGCTAATTACATCAATTAAATGTGATGTGGTGAGCATATGACGAGGGTAAGTGATACAAAATAGTGGTGGGTGGCGAACATGAAGATGTCTTATTAAGTGCTTTAGTGAAAATGTCTTTGATTAGTAGTAAATTTAGGACTATATGTTGTGCAAAGCAGGATGAAGCAGCGCCAACCTTGAGCTCGTTGAACAGCGTGCATGGTTACCAGCAGTCTTTAAGCTACAGCACCATGGAGAGCGCCAGCAGCATTTTGATGGCGCAGTGCTTACCCCATGTTTCTTTTCACTAATTTCCTAAGAGCGCTTGCTTGGAGCTGATTAGTTTACCTCAGTTATGTGAACAAGACACAAGTCACACGTAGAAAATGTTTTTACAACACAATTTGCACCTGTGTTTCAGTAACGGCAGACGTGCAGCCTTTGCCTGTCAGATTTTTCACTCAACAGGGTGCAAAAAAGCACAAGCAATTACTC